ACTGTTTTTGCATCGTGCGCGACGCTCGTCGCTGGCTTCACGGCGTTTAACTCGCCGACGGCCCCCGGAAATTACGGCCTCCCGGCTGAAAAAGCAGAATTCACTGGTGAAATTGCCCACAGCCTGCCAGAAGTGAACGTCCGGTACCACTTCCCGGCCTTTGACGCGGCTTCGGCCATGTCGTCCATGGAAAGCGGCTTGGCGCTGGACAATCGTATCGCTGCGGCGGCTCAGGAGTTGCGTTCTGATAAAGTATAATACTCTTTCTTTGTGAATCTGCATTTTCTCGTCGCTCGTTTGTTCACACATTTTTCTGCTCGGGAAAAATAACATACTCACTCTGTACTCAAAAACACCTGCAGGCCCTTCTGGCGGCGCTCACTCCCTCCAGTTTTCTGCGCAAAGGCGATGCGATTCTGGGCGCCATGGGAAGTCTCCCGGTCCCGCCGCAGCCGGACACCACGGGCTTGGCTGCCTTCCGGGAAATGATGTTGGGTATGGAGCATGCCCCCCGGCCGCACCCGACCTACGCCTCGGCGGCTGCGTCCTGTCCGGGAGGATGCTGAACTGATGATCCAAGAGCAACGCGGACTTGTGCGTGAATATCAGTGCAAATGATTGAATCAGAGTTTTCTGACGGACCGCGACAAAAGGTCTGAGATCCACTCCTTTGAGTGTCGTTTTGTTCAAACGTTACAAAATGAGCGCAAATCGTTGCCCCAAATAATGAGCGCAAATGCAAAAGGCCTACCAAACTTCGCGAGCTCCCAGATGTGGTCTGCAATGCTTATTTGAAGCGTGTGATCCTTGTAGTGAATCTTTTTCTTTGTTTTGTTAGTCACAGAAACAAGATGTTTCGTGTGCTTGCAGCGACTTCCCTGTGCGCTCATGGTGCGCGGATGTTCCCTGACCCGCTGGAAATGGTGCCGCCGGGTGTGGCATCGGGCATTGCGGGTAAGGCCGCCGACGCGACTCCTTACACTTTGAACCTGATGCCCCCCTCCATGCCATCTGCCGAGGCAAACGCTGACATTGATGCGCTGATGGCTGTTGAGAAGGCCCATGAAAAGGGTCTGGAAGCGGCGGGGCTAGCGGACAAGCAACGTCTTCTGAACGCAGAGATTGCCAAGGTTCACAGCATCGTTGGCGCGCATCACTCGTTTCTCCAGGGTTATTCGTCGCTCGCTCCAGCTGCGGATCATGAATTCGTGTTGCACGCTCCTGCTGAAGACAAGGCGTCGGTTGACGCTGCCGTCTCGTCTATTTTCAAAACTGAATCTGCAAAGTCGTCGGCCGAAGCTGCCGCGGACGCATCCCTCAAGCAGGCTATGCTCTCTGCAGAGATCGCGAAGATCGGCCGGATCGTGCGCGGCAAGTCCAGCTTTCTGGAGCCTTTCGTGCCGCCAGTTGCCATTCAGTCCACCATGCAGGCCTCGCTCCCGTCTGTGATCGACATCCACTATGACGTGCCACATGCAGGGTTCACCCAGGAGTTGGCCGCGTTGAAAGCCGCGTCCTTTCTGCAAAAGGGCAAGACTGACGTGTACTTTGAAGCAGGTGCCCCGGCCTCGGTCCTGGAAAGTGAGTACCAATCCATCAAGACGTCGCTCGAGCAGAGCATTGAAAAATCCTTCCAAGCCATTCGCTCCGCTGCTTTGGGCGCGTCCTTCTTGAAGGCCTCTCCTTCCCGTGAGCCGACTGTGCACGTGATGGTTGACTCCGCTTCAAAGGGCAAGAAGGTAGATATGGCACGCCTGACGGCTGACGGATTTGCGTACGCGGCCAAGCGCCTCGCTAGCTTGGAAGCTGAAATGTCCCACAGCTCCTTCCTGAGTGGTGATGATGTGCCGCGCTCCGCTCCGGTGCTGAACGTGGACATTGAGACTCCGACCTTCGTCTCCGGTGCAGATATCGCAGCTGTCAAGGGTGAGATGCAGGCCATTTCCAGCTTGCAGTCACAGCTGCGCTAAATCTCTCCTTGGCGCCCGGAGCCGCTCGAGCGGACCTTCCTACATTTGACTGATGAAAAACGCGTCTATGTTTCGCTTTTGAAATCTCAACTCTGCTTCGTGAGTTCTTCATGCGCTCCATCAAAATAGTTTCTTCTTCTGTGTTCTATATGAGTCGTCATCACCCCAATCGCTGAGTGATGAGAAACAAATGTGGTAAGCAAATTTATAGTCCTCGTCATATGCTGTTTCGCGGAGAGATTGGAATCTAAACGGCCACCTGGATTATTTTTCTCCTCATTGTGTCCATGACCAACAAAATTTAGAACCAAGAAATCTAGTTTACCTTTTAGTCGAGCAACATGCGCGTTGTTTTCTGCCTTTTTGGAGCCGCCTCCGCCCTCAAAGTGAGGGACAGCGCGTCGGCAGCGTCGGGGCTTATCGGCTCGCTGTCTGGAGGAGGTGCAGCTGGATTGACTGCTGCCACCATGCCGTCGGATGCGAAGTTGGGAGGGGTGACCGGAGATTTACTCGCGGGCGCTGAAGCGTTTGCTGCTGCCGCTCCGTCATCGCCGGAGGAGAAGCAGCTCACAGCAGCGGTGAAAGCCGCAATGGGGTCGTCGCCCACGACCGTCGGCAAGTTTACTTTGCCTTACTCCACGGGTGCTGCGAGCTTTCTGAAGCTGACCGGACTGTCCAGCGGTGATTTGTCCACAATTGCCCAACAGGTTGCGGCGGCCGCGACTAAGCTCTCTGGACTCACTGGACCGACCGCTACCTGCCCGTCTGGATGGGTGGAGACCGCGGGAACGTGCAATCCTACCGGAAGCTACTCGGGTTTCTGCACCAGAGGCCTGCCGTCTGACCTGAGCGTCGCGGAGAAGCAAGAAGCGCAGATCTTCTGCGATGTCGCGTACTAAGCAGCAACCTGTGTCGCCTGATTACCGCAGCTAAGCGTGACTCTTCTAGTGCACTCGTTTCTAAGTTGGAATAGAGAACCCCACTCCTCAGATTCTTCGCTGGGCTGTGTAGCCTCGAACGTCATTGCTCAATCATTCTGTTCGTTCGACGCTGCCTTGAGAGACAGGCTAGGACTCGGATACGTCCAGAGCGGAGTGAATGCTGTGCACTCAAACCTGATGCCAAAGCTGCCGTCGCCTAACGTTTTACTACAACACTGTCTGCTTGACTAACATTGCACGGTCTCCTCTTAATCTTGTAGCACTTTTTTTGAATAGAGAACCTGAAACTAGAACTTCTTGCGAAGAATGCTGCGTACACTCTTTATCGCGGTTGCGGCTTTTTTTGCCTGCTGCACTGCAGAGTCCATCAAAGTTGCTGGCCCGGGACACCTGACAGCAAGCGCCAAAGACATTGCTGCATTGGAGGCTCGCATTCAGGCGTTCATGCACTCCCAAGTCATGGGCAAAACTTCCTTCCTTAAAACTGGGGCTGCTGCGTGGGCCGGATCTCCAGGCATGGTCAAGGAGGCTTTGTTTTTGACGCAGCCAATGCGGACCGACTCTCCGGCGAAGGTCAACATCGTGGAGAAACGCCCTGAGTTTACTGCGTCGGCTTCCTCCGTCGCTGACTCTAGCCAAGCTGCTTATGATATGCAAGCCTTTTCTGCGGGTCTCGCTAGCTTGCGCGTGTAAACAGTGGCACTCCAACAATGTAAACAAGTGACAATAACAGTCTCCTGATAAAAGTTAGTAACTAACCTACACAGAGACCCAAACTGGTCCTTCATGCCTTATGTCGTCATGATGTGTTCGTCTGGGCGCGACCGCACCAAAATGGCTTTTGCTCTTCCGGTCTTTTGTCAAAATCAAATGGCCAAACCCTCCAAGTCAATCATTGAGTCTTTCCAACGCATTCGTCTCCCAAATAGTGCGTTTTTTTTCCAAACTGAGACACTAAGATGAAAGTTGCTGTATCCTTGACGGTTGTGGCGGGCGCCAGCGCTCTGTCCATGTCGCAGCGGATCACCGCGGGGAACCGTCTGCTGTCCCTCCCTGCACAGCACACTGAGGTGCCGCTGGATAAGCTGAATGAGGTCCGCGAGGTGTTGAGCAAGGACTGTGGTGCGGAATGCGTGAAGTACTGGGATTCCGTGATGTCGACTGCACAGAAGGATGGCAAAACGGTCCTGTCTGCACTTCAGGAACAAACCGCTGACACTTTCAACAAAATGAAGGAATTCCAAGCCGCTGTGGAGCATGAGGACCCGACCACGGCGCTAGCTGAGTTCCAGGCAACCCACAGCGCCTTTTTGAAAGAGCGCAGCACCTTGTCGTCTGCTGTTCCAATGATGGACGCGCCCTGCTTTTTATCATAAACAAAACTACCAAAATGCCCAGACAACAATGTAATTCTTGCATTCAGTACTGAAACTCAGGTGTATTCACGGAGTGACGGAGAGCTTAGTTAGAGCTTACATGCGGTTTGAGAATCGGACAGAAATGGTATTTTTGTTTGGCATACCTTGACGCCAAGTCCTGCAAGCTGGTGGAGGCACTGGGCAACCGCTGCAACTTCGGTCGTGTCGCGACCCTGGCCATCTACCAAGCCATCAACCTCCCAATCCATGTATTGGGTGTTGCGACCAAAATTCTGTGTGCCTGCATCGACGTTTACACCGCCAGCACGTGCTTGCTCAGATTCGCTCCGTTTTGCGGACCGGTCCACTCGTTGATGGGAAAGGTCTGGGGCATCAATGATTCGGTTTGGGAGGCCACAAAGGTACACTATTCAGCTATTTTTTCTATAGACTAGTACGGGGGGATCCGTGTAGCTTTTCTTTTGTGATTAATTGCGTCGCGCCGGATCAGGAGGCTTTCCCATGATTTCCTTCCCTTTACACAAAACAGGCCGTCACCAGCAAATGCAAGGTTATTGGCAGCCCGTTAGTGGCCAGCCCGCCATAGGCAGGATGCCAAACCGGTGACGTGTCAAAAAATCGGACGCGACAATACACTGATGAAATCCTGATAGTTTTTTGATTCCCATTTTCCACAATGTATTTTCCAGCGTCTCACGTTCATATGTGTTCCTAAATTCGTGCTCATGTGTCGTGACAACGAGCGGCCACCCAAAAAATGCAATACTCGTAATCAAAGAGACAGAATCAGCCCGCGTAATCAAAGAGAAATCAAAGAGAAATGTTGCTTGACTTGCCGTAGCACAAGTCCTTGGCGTCGTGTTTTTTTTCGTGGAATCATCGCCAGGAAGATGTCAAAACTTTTCGTCGCCTGCACTTTCGCTGCCGTTGCTGAGGCGGCTATGCCGTCTTTCGCGGTCGGTGAACAATTGGGTGAGGCGCTCTCTGCTGGAATCAGCTCGAATTCCGCGGATTTTCAGCAAAAAATTGCGCCTGCGCTGGCCCAACCAGTGCTGCGCAACGCCGGCGTGGAGGCAGTGATGAGCGCTGCGGCTAAAAAGTACAGCTTCTTGCAGCGTCCCGTGTTGAACTTGCACGTAGGTGAGACCGCGTCTGCGTCGCTCGCAGCTGATCGTGCTGCCGCTGCAACTGCACTGGCTGGCGTCGAGCAACAGGAAGTGCAGATGTTAGAACGCGCGGCACACAAATCCTTTCTGCGCACGCCGCTATCCGATCTCCAGCGTGAGGGTGCAGATGGATCTGTTTTCAAAGATGCAGTCAGCTACTACGGGTCGCTCGTTGACGCTGGTGGCTATTCTGCACAGCATGGTGTCGCAGGATTGTTGGATCTTGCTTCTCTGCCCAATGCTCGCGTTGCCATGCAGCCCCTCCTGTTCAAAGTCAAAAATCTCGCACAGAAGGAAAGTACCCCAGATGCCACCAGGGACATGGCCGGTTCTTTGATCACGTTCCTGACCAACATGCCGGTCTCGTTCCAGTCTAGTGACTCTGCAACCGGCGCCTATGGCCACACAAACATCGTGCTGCCGTCGCCAAGTCGTGTTTATGGGGCTGAAGAGGAGATCGCACAGTTGAAGGCTGGAGCTATGGCGGCGGACTCCCTGGCGGGTTCGCTCTACCACTAAACCGCTTCCTCAGTCTTGTCTCGCGGGCGCAGGACTCTCGGGAAAGGCACAGCAATTCAGACATGTCTGAACTGAATACAATCAAATTCCCTGTGAATGCGCTTACGTCCGGAGCTCACTCGCTCTCTTTTTCTGCAAAACCAATGAGTCGTGTGTTCACATTGTTTGGTGAGTGTAGATGAACAAAAACAAAAGCGGCAGCAAACTGGCGTGCTTGTACAACCGTGAGGACGCAACTCGAGCATCATCACCATTGCATCTGCAATTACCAAAGCTGTAGCTGCGTTTCTTTCAAATACAACTAGCCCACACAATGAAGTCGTTCGTCGTGGCATTCGCCTGCGGGATCGCATCCTGCTTGGCAACTGTCCCATTCGACCTGCCTAAAGAAATCTTCACTGATGTGAACAAAGGCGACGTTCTCGTGGTGAACGTTATCGCTGATCGTGCGTCGTTTTTGCGCGCTCCAGCGCTGGCAGGTACAAGATTCCAACTGCTTAGAGGTGTTTATAACTTTCAGACTACATATGATGACTTTATTAACCGTGCAAAACTCTTACAGTCAAAATTTACTTCTTCACTTCAGGTCTAGAATCTTCTTTGAAGGCGGCCCACCCCAGTGAATCGGCCATGATGATCAAGGCTACCCTATCCGACGCACTCCAGGCGGCTGCTGTTGCAGAAGGTGTAAGTTTTTCGGCGGTGACCTGTGCCCGCAACTACGCTGGTTGTCCTTCGGGATGGGCCCCGTCGGGTGATGCCTGCGTCTCCGCGTCTGGAAGCAGTGTCTCCTTTTCTGGTTTGGCGGCTATTGAAAAACAAGCCGTTGCGGAGAGTGTTGGCGCAGAGTTCCCGTGTGCGTAACTCACTTAATCAGGACTTCCAAAAACGCGTCCAAGGCCTTTGCGTTTGTTTTCAATTAAGTAAACAGCTCAAGCACCGCTCTCTCGCGTTCTAGGTCTTCCCGCTTTCTTGCGTGATATTTGTTTTTTTCTACATTTCATGATGTTCTTCGTTGCACAACCGCGGATTCGTGTGGAGAGACAATGAGCGAAGCAAATTTCTTCGTCGGCTTGTGTATATGTATACAATTGCATTTCCTAGCGGTCATGAACCTACCTCTTCATTTAACGCGCATTTAGCTACTTTTTTCTTTGTTACAAAGAATCAAATCATGTTGCGGGTCGCGTCTCTCTGCGTTATCGGTGCGTCCGCACTGATGACCAGCCAAGAGATGGCAGACAAAAACTTGCACGGGTCTGATGCGTATATCGCCTTGTTCAAAGAGCAGTCTCCAGAAATGGAGCAGGCGTTTTTGCAGGTCTATGACAAAATGGCCAAGGAGTTTGATGTGAATTCTTACCAAACGCACCTGAACATGTTGGACACCGCTGTCTCCTTTTTGCAGGACTACAAAACCGGCTCGTCTACCCCGCACTGCGACTATGGGATCGCCCCAGCTGCGGTGGCTGTCAAGGGAGTTTCAGCTTTCCCGGGAGGGGTAGTGTCGCGTCTCTTCGGATTTGACGTCAGCAAGATGGTCGCAGAGTTAGCAAGCAAATCTGGAGCCGCGGGAGCTGCAGGCGGTATGCCTCAGATGCTCGCTATGAATGGTCTTGCCACCGGTGCTGGCCTGATTCAGGCTGCAATGTCCACCGTGCTGCAGATAGTTCCCCCAATGGTGCCGCCCCCCGTGTGGATGAACCAACCGCTTCCCTGCATGCCAATGGTTACTGGCCACAACTGTGTCGGCTCCGTGTTGTACCCAATCACTGCTGCCGACTTTGTCACTGCTGACGTGACTGATGCCCAGTTGGATGGCACCATTGCTTCGTTTCCGGCATTGTACAAGGACCGTGTTGGCAAAACGGGTAGCGCGGCGTATTCTCTGTGCTTCAAGACCTACATGTCTATGCAATGCGGCGCCATTTTTCCGCGGTGCTCCACTCCAATGGCCCGCAACGAGCCAACTCCGGTCGGTCGCCTGCCACTCTGCTTCACAAGCTGCATCGCCACTTTGGTCGCGTGCCCAGGTTTTTGGATCACAGACATTGCTGACACCTGCAGCACCGTCTCTGCCCCGCCAATGTGCACCATGGCTCTGTATTTGCGGAGTGACAACCTGCCGCCGCAGTACAGCAGCTTTGAAGAATCGACTTCCGTCCCCGCAGAGTGCCCGGTCGCGCCGGCCTCCCTCGCGGCTTTGGAAAATACGGCATCTGGATTTGACATTTACAGCACGGGCTCGGACTCCATTGTCAACTCGCCGTACTTTGGATCTGGCTCCGCCAAGGTGCCTAGTGCATAAGAACTCACAATCCCGTGACAGCATCCCGGGTGGCATTTCAAGAGAATAGCAGTGGATGTCTCGCATTCAAGTGAATATTTCCTTCAAAAACTTCGCTTTTACTGAGCCTTGCAGGCCTTTTCTGCTCTCTGTTCTGCTCTGAGTCGCTTCTTCCTCGCTAACGGACTGGACAAAAAGCAAGTGACAAGCGGGAGAGATCGCTCGTCGCCTACCCAAAACGCATATTTTGATTGGAGTCATGTTGCTCTCGTTATTGTGACTGAAGTGAATCTTCAGGATTTTTTTGCAAACGGGAAAGCTACAACAAATGATGCGCGTTGCGGCCTTGTTCTTTGCCCTGATCGGGTGCGCCTTCGGATACAAGGACATTCTTACCCACGGCTCTGCTGGACCTGTTGAAGTGATCAACGTTGCGTTGGAAAGCGCCATTCCAGATGCAATCGCGGCGCGGCGCTCTGCTGAGATGCGCCGATCTGAGGCAGCAACCTTGGCACTCTTAGCTCGGCGCCGGGCTCATGCCAACAGCGCACTGCAGTCCATGATCAGCATGGAAAAAATGAATGAGGCAACCGCGCGTGACCTTTTGGGCTAGGGGATTGAGAATGACCTGACTCGGACTGTAGTTCTTCAGAATTTGATTTCCTCCATTGAAAAGCAAAAATTGAAAAAGCTTTGGCTCCGCCCAGATTTGGATCGCGTCGGCGTTTCGTGTTTGTGTTTCGTGTCTGAGCGTGGTGAGAGATCTTCCCCCCTGCGCATTGGCGCATGATTTCGGAGATTCTCGCAAAAGGCAACGTGGATTTCCCGTACCATCAACCCGTCTGTCCTTCTGCCTCACGCAGGATTCTGTTTTTTTGTGTATCAGTATCTACTTGTCTTTCCCAAAATCAAGTATGGCAAAGCTGCTATCGACGCTCAGTGCCTGTGCCGTGCTGGTCCGCGCTGGCAAGCCGGTGGTGGAATTGAGTTTAGCATCCCCTTCCGCCCCTTATCCAGCGGTGTCAAGTGCTATTGCTGCCGCAGAGTCAAGCCGCCTCGCAGCTGAACACGCAGCCCTGGCTGAAATCGACGCCGCGTACAAGTCGACCCTGGCCCAAGCCTCGGCAACGCTCGGGAACACCATTTCCAAAGCCATGGGCCGTGCGTCTTTTGCGAACATTGCGGAGCCGGTCATTTCCGTTCGTATTGAAGGCGCCACCTCAGATGAGTCCGCGGGTGTTGCCGGGGTCAAGGCGTTAGAGGGCAAACGCTCTGCGGCAATGGGTGCTCTGGTCTCGTCAGCCAAGCAGGAATTTTCAGAGGTTGCCAAAGTTGTGATCGCGGAGTTTGACAAGCAATTACGCGGACGCAAAAGTTTTTTGCGCTTTTCCCGCGAAATCAACGTGCGCGTCGGCGCAGACCCATCGTACAAGACTGTGTCGGCCTTGTTGGGTGACATGGAGGCTCGTCGCGACTCGGGTGAAACAAGGCTCAGAACCACGATCCTTGCAAAGGAAATGCAGCTGGTGAAGGCTTTGAATGCCATCGGTGCCGCAGCGCTCTCGCACTAGGACATCGACCTGTTGAGAATGTGCTAGTGTTTGTTAAATGTTGTTGAGTCGCATCTGCTTGAGTCCAAAGTATTTCTGATCCAGCCAGCAATGAGTCCCGCGACCACTTCGTGTTCTGTTCACTACTGAGAGACCAAGACTCGTTCAAACAAACCTGCAACTAGAGCAATCAACTGTAGCTTACAAAATCTTGCACACGTGCATTTTATGCATTTTACAGACATAAACATCTTCCTCTCAGTAGATTTTTTTTCTGCTCTCACAGTTCAGGAAAATGTATGGGAAAATTCTCACAGCGTGCTTGATTGGCAGCGTTGCTGCTGACAGTGAGCCGCTTATCCAGGTAGCCTTAGCGCCTCCGGTGGATGCCGGGAGCGGCTTCGCGTCCTACGGAAAGGCAGAGTCTGCTATGGAAGCATCCGGGATGAATGGAATCCAGAAAGCCATGACTGCAGCGCTGGCATCTGCTAAAGCGGAGATTGACGCTGTTGTGCATCATTCTTCGTTTCTCCAAGGCGCGCCAGTTTTCATTCGCGTGATGAACGCCCCGGAATCAGGAGCGTCTGCTGGCCGTGTTGCTGCTTTTGAAAATGTTCGCGCAGATTTGGAATCGAAGACCATTGCACAGGCCACTGCAGAGTTTGGCGCCTTGGCCAAAATCGTGATCGGGGAGTTGAAGAGTGCGCTCCATGCCAGCTTCCTCCAAAAAGGGTCCGGCTCCATCGGCGTCAAAGTCAAGGCGTCTGACATTCCGTGGGCATCCACCGTGGATCTTTTGCAGGCCACTGAGTCCTCCCGCGACGCCTCAGAGGTGGCCATGCAAGGCAAGATCATGGACATGCAGATCCAATTTGTCAAGGCGTTAAATGGTATGATCGCCTCGGCCTTGGGTTAAAATATTAAAATGGACCTTGTTTTGATTCGAAGATTCTCGCCATATAGAAAGTAATGCGAAGCCCCGTTATCTAGTGCGTCTACAGGCTGGTGACTCTGTCTGTTCGTTCTCGACTGCGTGCTGTTGAGCGGAATGTGTGGTGGTGAGAGACGTGCCAGCAGCTATCTTTTGCTCGGAGTGACGTCGTGGCGGTTTCAACTTTTTCAAGAACTACCAGAAAAATACGCAGGCTGCCACTAAAGTAGTATGTGTTTCCACCCAAGCCACTACAGCTCCAGTTATTTTTTTCTCCCAGCTTTTTCAAAAATAAAATGTTTCGCCTTGCCGTCGTGCTGAGCGCCCTGATGGGAGTTTTTGTCTCGGCTCAGCGTGAGAGCGATCTTTCTGACATTTCCGCAGCCGCCAAGGCGTACAGGTCCGCAGGACTAGCATATCAGGCGGCCGCGTCCTCTAATGGGGCCGCTTCCGCTGCGGCAGCAGGAGGATCCGTAGTAGACTACACGACCGGTCAATCAAGCTCCTTCTTGCAAGCCCGCAAAGGAGCCCTCTTGCGTGGTTTGGTCTCGCGTATCATGGGAGCGTCGGGGGGCTACCTGCCAGAGCGCAAAACGCAGTCGCCAATCGTGCAGCTGCACCTGCACGCCTGAGGAACCAATGCCGGGTCGTAAAGTCTTTGTTCTCGCCCTTTGAGATTGGAGTATTGCAAAGAACGCTGATAAAGAATTGCGAGCCACAGTATGCAGGCATGAAAAGCCACTTCTTGTCAGTGCACATGAAAAAGTCCTTCCTCCAGTTCTGTTCAGAAGTATTTCGTGGCAAATCTCGGTGTCGACTACTTGTCCACTGCTGCACTGCATGCCTTCGCTTGTCGACGACATAGGGGTCGCGCTCGTGTGTCTTGGAGGGATGGCAAGTAAGACATCAGAACGCATAGCACAAAGCCAATGCCGTCTGCAATCAAACTTGGTATTTTACACACGTATGGCCTATTGCGCAATTATACTTCACTCATATCAAGTCACTTAGTTGGTTTTGTTTTTTTTGATTGCGCCAAAAAAATATGTTGGGTCTTGCTGTTCTCTCGGCGGTGGCCGCTATCGCGTCGGCTGATCCAATTTTCCCGGGCTCTGCTGCAGCTGCAGCCAGTAGTCTAGCTAGCATTATGTCGGCCGGCAGCTCCAGTTCGGCATACAAGCAGTCCATCGGCAACGCGTCGGTCAATGAAGCTGCTGCCATCGCGGCCGGAACGGCCGCCCTGACAGAAGAGGTTTCGTCAGCTCTAGCGTTGGAAAGCCTGAAGAAGGACGCGTATGTTGCTGCGCACGTGGCGGTGCGGAAACAGCTTTACGCTGGTGGCTGTCCCATGGATATGTCTGGATGCCCCATCGGCTTCACTTTGTCTGATGGAACCTGCTACCCGACGGCATCCTATACAGGGTACTGCGGCCCGCGGTCGTTTTCTGGTATGACCAACGCACAGAAAACAGACTTTGCTTGGAAGTGTGGAGCCACCTTTCCGTGTGCGTAAGCTTCAAGATGCCCTAGCTTTTGATCCCTCAAACGATTTTTGTTTTTGATAAAAAACGCGTGGCTCTTCTGGTTTGACCACAATGCGCGGAAATCGCCTACAGGTGCTAACGTTTTCTCAACTCAGCTGTTCTGCAATCGTTGTCATAAAGCATTTGGTCAGTGAAAACGCAAATTGCCGTGATTGAAATGAAAATCCTATGACAGTGCTGCGTGCCACCTGAAAGGTACCGGAAAAGACATCGGCCTTTGCCATAAAAGCTGTGCGGATCACTCAAAAAATCCTAGAACAATCTCCCGTTGTAGTTTTTTTTTTGAGTTTAATTAAAGTGCTCTTCTGCCAAGTCGACGCACATCACAATGGCTCACAGACTCGCTACCTTGCCGCACCTCGTACTCCCGGGGATCACAGCCGTTGCAGCCGTGCGTTTGCCAGCCATCCGCCTCGCAACTACGCCAATCACAGCAGCGCCAACGCAGCAAAGCGGATTGTTCTCTAAATTGATTCCATCACGGACGTTCCCGCCATTCCCTGCTGAACTTCGGGAAGCGCATACGGATGCTGGCACCGTACATTCTGGCAGAAGCATCCTGGTGAAACAAAGCTACAGCCAGGGCACAAGTCCGCGCTCGACATGGCATGAAACCAGTTTTTTGCGGAGAGCCTCTTCTGCGGACGGACTATTTTCATCCCTCTCGGCTATTCCTTCCGGGCCAGAGCCACAGAATAGCGAAGTGTCCGGGTTTCGGGAAATGATGATCGGGATGTCGCACACACCAAGGCCACACTTAGCTACGCCGAGCGGTTTGATAAGGAGCTGTCCCAAGGACTACAGAAGCTGTCCAATAGGCTTCTCAGTGGCGCAAAACGGAACCTGCATGGCCAGCACCTACAGAGGAAGCTGCAGCAAAGGACCCTATTCGTTTCAAGCAATGAACCTCGAAGCAAAAATGCGTGCAGAGGAACAGTGTGGATTTTCCTGGCCATGTGCTTCGGGCGTCCGTTCCTACTCGGCTACATGCCCCGTCGGATTTGCTCCAGCGGGAATACATAAGTGCAAACCCTCTCCATCTTATGCTGGACCGTGTACCGACGTGCAAAATTTCACTGGCTTCAACGCCAAGATGCTCGCACTGTGGGAGCATCGTTGCGGAGCGTACTGGATGTAGGCGTACTTCATGTAGCAAGTTGAGATGCCTCTCCAAAGGCAACATTGCAAGAAACAGCTAAATGTGGAACAAGCTTGGTGAAAATGACCACGGTTGGCGGCGCGATCCATTGAATAGAGTGCAATAAATCTGCGTCACTGCACGTGCGACATCGCAGCTGCATACTCTCAGCCGCGCTGCTACAGAGTCTTTCAACCATATTTCGGAACATCAGCTCTCGACAGAATTTGAGAGGAGCGAGCACTCGCACCAAATTTTGCTGCCAAAAATCGTTGTGATTTGTGGGTCCGCCAAATTGCTTCAGCACTAAAACCCGAAATTGCTGCACTAGGTTCGGAATTAACAGTTTTTTTTTTTTTTCAACTGGTGCAATCCATACATTGGAACAAAATGCGGCGCGGCGCGGCGATGGTGGTCCTGGGCACAATAACATCGCGTATCGTTACTGCCGACCCTATTTTTCCTGGCAGTGCTGCCGGAGCTAGCCAAACGCTCAGCCAGATCCTAAGCGCCACAACATCTTCTTCCGCGTACAAGCAATCTGTCGGAGACGCCTCTGCCAATGAAGCATCGGCAATAGCAGCCGGAACGGCATCCCTCGCCGAGCAGGTCTCCAGCGAAATGGCTCTGAGTGCGCTAACAAAAGACAGCTTTATCGCGGTACACATTGCGCTGAGAAAGCAACTCTTTGCAGGAGGCTGTCCAATGAATTTCAGCGGTTGCCCTGTTGGTTTTGATTCAGCCGGTGCAGTGTGCGTTCCTGGATCTAGCTACTCAGGCTTCTGTGGCGAGCGCAACTTTTCGACCATGGACCTAGCCAACAAAGTCGACTGGGCGTGGAGATGCGGTGCTGCATGGCCGTGCAGTAGCAAATCTACCGAATTTGCAGCTCCGTGCCCTCAGGAGTGGTCGCAGACTGTAGCGGGCTGTTCTGCGCCACCCACGTATGCCGGCATTTGTTCACCAACGACAGACTTCACAGATATGACCGACGAGGATAAAGCGCGCTGGGCAGCGGATTGTGATGCGACGTGGTGAATAGACTGTCAGAAGATCATACTATCAGAAGATCATACTTTTAAAGTTTTCATATTACAACGACGCACGTCAGACAGGCGACGAGCAGTACAGTCGCATGAACGCTTTTCTAGAGCAATTACAGTCCAGACACAGACCCAGAGTAATGCACATGGCGTTCGCTTCGCATAGTGAACTCGTAACGCGCGTGCGATGTGTTCAACTTCAACATCTTGCTCGTCGGGTTCGATTCAAATATCAGCAAAAAACAAACGCTTTCCTGAGTGAGTATGCAGATGCATTTGCGACAGAGCGCAATAATATCACCAGCAGCCAAGCTTTCGGTTCACATGCTTGGCTCTCGGTTCACATACTTGGCTCGTACTTGATCCGCGAGCGATTCGCATCGATTTCTCTGCGGGTAGCAAAAAACACCGCGAACTCGTGCTCTTCGCAATCCATCGGCACCAAAAACAGCAAACTGACTTCGTTCCAAAAGCCATTGCGAAATCGCAAGAAGCTGAATTTTTTCAAATAGTCTAAATAAATTCACCCCGGAGAGACTACATCAGTCCACACTCATGGCGGGTGACTCATTTTCTACCGACTCTGACCTGGATCTTTCTAGCGACCTTGATCGCTCTACCAGTACCGACCGGCTGCTCCGCCGTGTCGGTGGAGTAACTCCATCCTGTTCCTCCGCGCCGCCGTCGCCGGCGAGTTCGTGCTCTGCAGATATTGTCGATCACATCTACGACACCCTTGCGGATCTAGACGAAAAAGAAGAGCGGAGGGAAGAGATTCGCAAGCGCAAAAGGCTGGCCGCTGCCCGTAGGCGCTGCGTTATAGGACCCGTCAGCGATCTGAAGAAAACCGACAAACGGGGGCGTCGCACGGTGGACTTTTACAAGGTCCTGCAGCAGGTCCGCGAGAAGTTTGGTGCTTTCAAGGAGCCGGAGGAGTGGGCCGCGGTGGAGGCCCTCGCCTCCCGCGCCACGGACGCCTTGAAACGTGACCCGCGCATCAGCTATCTCGTCATTGATTTTCGTGAACACCACGTGCGACCCGCTTCTCCCGCAGAAGCAGCAAGCGGCGTCGCCGCGGAAAACGACCAGGAGGAACCCGGTGACTCCGGCCCGACGTGGGAAACGTTCGCAACCAAGAAGGCCGACATAGTCGGCATGGATGCCTGTAAGACGGTCCGTCTCGACGTCGACCGCACAGTAATCGCGGGCAAGGACGAGGTGAGAAAAGGCGCATGGCTATCATTTGCAAGAGCGTTTTCTCTCTAGCGTCAAGATGAGCAGTCTGCGCTGCAAATCCACAAATTTTGGAAGTCATACGTGACAGATTCCGCTTTGGATGGTAGTGCAGTGAAGCCGTCGCTGTGGCAGCCGCATTACAAATCCATGTCCTTATCCTGTTCACAGCTTGCCAACGCAATTTGCATGACAACTTTGGGGTGGGGACGTTCTTGCTCAGGATAGTGAAAGGCCATGGTCCAGGTCGTCCGCGAAGCGGTGATTCCCGGGTACGCGGCTGGGCTGCGTAATAAAGGGATCAACCTGCATAATGAAATCTCGGACCTCGCAGGCAAAATCTGTCGGTACCTCCAGAAGCACCCGGACGTTGATTGCGTCCGCGCGGACCTGTTCTTTTTGGAAGACGAGGCGGCGGAGGAAGACGTCGAAATGTAGGAGTTGGGAGCGGGAGGAAGATTAGTGGATCATAGAAGAGCTCTTGCGTTATCAGTCAAAATAGCCGAACTGGTTCCAGAAAACTACGTGTACGCTGTGCTTCACTCGTTTATTGTTCGCGTGAAATAGCGACTACTCCCAATTGATGAGGAACGCGCTTGATTTACTGAGAGCTCTTTCACTGATGACCCTCTCCGCAGAACTTCTGCAAATGTTATGTGAAGCAAACTGCTTTTGATTTTGTTTACGTCTGCGAGTAACAGCTTCTCTCACAGACAGCGGACAAAAGTCTGACCAGTGTGGCGACTTTGAATACCCAGGAAGGGCTTTTTTCCTGCTTGTTGTACTGTCACAGCCAGCATCTGTGGCAATCTTAGAGAACCCACTCATTATCTAGGTGGAAACTAGAACTCGAACGAAAAACTTTGCGTGAACTATCAGCTGGAAGTACAGGAGTCTCCGTGACAACTTGAATTAGCAGTCCCGCCAGAGGGGGCCCGAACCTGTATATCTCCTGTTCGAAGTGAGAGAAGAATTGAGCTTCAAGGGATATCACGACAGCCCGACCCGAGTTACCACTACCGATTTGCACAATAGCGCTGGCACTGCGCTAGTTGAAATCGAGGGAGACAAAGTTTGCGATATCGTTTTTTTTTTAGGTTCAAATTCCTGATCGCTAAAACAGCCCGGCAAAAGACCCTGGCCGTGCTTCTCTCTGGTTTCTAACGTTGCCCTCGATGTCGTTTCGTCAGTTTTTTCGCCTTGTGTCAAATTTGAAAGGAACAGAGCGATGCTCTTTTTTCAAAGCGCAATTGCGTGTTGAACGCCTCGTACGCAGAAAGAATTAGAGCGACAATGTCTGATGAGGTGGGAGAGAGTGCCCTGCTTCGAGTCTGATAATGTCAACTCTGGCTTTCGATTGGCTCCCTTTTTTGCCCCAGGTGGACCAGGCGCTTGAATCTTTACCTTCGCATTTGTATCTTTCCTCGCGAACGTGGTTTTTCGTTAGATTTGGCCGCCCCTCGCCTCATCCACTTGGGCTCCACAACTCCGCGCTTTGCCCATCAAAAGGAGGGAGAATAGACAAATCGATATCACAAAAAAGGAGTGTAATTTCCTTCGCGTTCAGTCAGGGACAGTTTCAAGCTGAGCACAATTGCCATTGAGCTGCTCGTATTAGAAGAAAAAATTTCTTCTCGAATCACAGGCCTCGTTCTCGCGCAACATGAACCACGAGTTTGCTTATGCTAAGGAGCGATCCAAGCGCTCTACCGCCACCGCAGCAGAAGCAAGCAGTGGGTCGGGAAATCAACAAACCTCTCCCTCCGCTCGCTCTCTACGACCAGATACAAGGCGGGCGTCGACCTTCTCCGCTGCTGGGTCGCTTGGACGTCGGAGCAACAAGAAGCGGAGACTAAACACCGCAAAGGCGGCAGCGGCAACCTCGCCGCAATTTCTGAAGCGCGCCAGGGGCGTGATAGGACCGGCCTGCTCGTCTTCCTCGGGTGGAGAAGACTGGGACTGGCCTGCAGCTGGCACAGAAACTGAAGCCGCTAAGAGTTCAGCAGCTCGTGATGAAGAAGACGCCTCGCCGTTGATTCCAGTACCGCGCGCAAAGCGAAAAGCAGTCTGGCAGACGGCCATCCATACGGAGACCCGGAGTCGGCTAACGTTGCAAGAAACAGACAACCAACGAGGGCTACACCAGGTACATCAGTGGGTTGTGTCGTAAGTATCTAACTTCCGAGATTCGCACTTTTTTCGAAGCACGCCTATCTTGGTCCACTTTTATTGAAAAATTATATGCTTTTTGACTACCTCGTGGTATCAAATATTTGAATTTTCGTTCGAGACGCTTTTGATGCTCTACATTTCAATGACGATGACGGAACTGCTCTTCTGCAACCTAACTCTAAGATTCACTACAGGTGCTGATGAATGACACCACGAGACGAGGGAACCAAGGCTCATTATCATCGACAAGTTCGCCCGTGCACATCAGCCCGCGAAAAACGAACACCGACGACCAAGTAGATCAAGCTTCAGCAAATCCTCCTATTTCAAGCAAAACCAAAAAGAGGAGAGTGGACATCGGCGACAGGTCGCCGAAGCTGGGTCCCGACGTCAACACTGCAAAGCAGGAATCCTCGTCGCATGACCTTCAGGCTAACGATGAGCAGGAGCATCTCGCAGGAAAAAACTGGATCTTCCCCGGCCGCCGGAACCACATGCTCGAGACGCCAGCGCAGAAGGCAGACTACGAAGCGGCAGAAGAGGCGTACCGCAAAAGCGACACCGAAGGCGACGTGGTTGCGCGGTACGGGTTTAATTTAGCGCTCCGCTGTGCCGCGCACCCGTCCGCGATTGCGGAGACAAGAGCTGGCAAAGTCGCGATACCGAAGGATCTGGAAATTCGAATTCCGGTGACCTATCTCGAACAGAAGCTCATCTCCTCGACGCAGTTGGAAACCATTACGCTCGCTGTGCTCCGAACAGACGAAAAGTTCGCGATCTCCGAGCAGACGAAAGATTCCCAGCTGCTGGCAACAAACGCTGGCCATTCGAACCCTAAACCTGCAACGGCTGCCGACCCGATGCTGGACAAGGGCGGCTACCCCTACCCGAAGGGTTTCCTTCTCGGGGAAGGGACAGGATGCGGCAAGGGAAGAATGGTTACCGGCGTTATGCTACACCACTGGAACAGCGGCAACCGACGAAGTATTTGGTGTAGCAAGAAGAAAGAGCTGCTGAAGGATGCGCAGCGAGACTTCGCAGACATGCAGGTCCCGCGTGAAATGCAGCTGCTGGACACCAGGACGTTCGCCACACAGCAAAGCAGCGGAGATGCCGGCGACGGCGTTGTCTTCTGTTCGTACAGGTGGTTGGCGAACGACGACAACAGGAAGCTCCTCGCCACATGGTTCAACGAGCCACCTGCCGCGGAGAAGGGCGAAGACGCAGTCCCCACGAACGCGGGACAAAAGAAGTATTTCGGCAGCGGAGTGCTGGCGTTCGACGAGTGCCACGCTGCGAAGAACCAGCTTCGCGTCAAGTACCTCCCTAACGGCGACATTTGTAAAAAAGCTAGTGAAAGCTGCGGCGTTGCAGTCGTAGAGATGCAAATGAGCTTGCTCAAGGAAGCCAGAGTCCTCTACGTCAGTGCCACAGCAGCGGCGGAGTTGTCGGAACTTGCTTATTATTCTGCGCAAAAGTATGAGCGTCGCACTCATGCTGATTTGAATGTTGCATGAACTTGGCAAACTCAATTCTTCTGCTACCAGTAAGAGTAACTAGCACTAGTGCGATCATGCTTTGTTTTGCAATGCATACGTGCATGGCCCGTCTCGGCGCATGGGAGAAAGTCGGTTTTGACCACCTCCGCAGAACCTTCGCCATGCGGGATGCGAGTCCCTTGGGAGGGATGGCCGCACTCGGCTGGCAGTTGCGCACTTCCGGTGCCGCAGTAAGTCGGCGTCTCAGCCTCGAAGGCGTACAGTTCGACATCGGGTGCGGCGGCGACCTCCACGTTGCCACGGCCGGCGAGGGCAACGGGCTGCTTGACGCCACGTTGCATGACAAAGTCGTGGCGCTTTTTCACGACACCAGTACATTCTTCCACGGGCTTTTGGAAAACCACGGCCCAGAGTACCTGAAAGCCGCGGAGGCGGCAAACCCTAGCCGAAGCGGCGGTGTCGCGAATTTCCGAGGCATATTCACCGCGGCGCGGCAGAAGTTCTGGAAGCAGTTTGCGGCCTGCGACAAGCTTCCCGCTGCGCTGGGACTCGCACGAAGGCTGCTGGCGGAGGGCAAGCAGGTCGTCCTCGCATTGCAGTCGACAGGAGAGGCCGCGATGACGGACCGAGACGACACGGATGGCGACGACGCCGGCGATGACGTGCCCGGAGGCAATGCCGACGACGTTGACCAATCCTGCAGCGCTCCCTTTTCGTTGTGTGAAAGCATCGCGGTCAACTTTCTGACAATCTACTGCTTTGACTCGTTCGACGCAAACGAGGCCGGCCCAGAACAACGCCGACTGCTTTCCGCAACCAGCAGGAGAAAACGCGACGAACTCATCGCTCGGTGGAAGGGCTTGAAGCTGCCCGAGAACGCGCTTGACCACATCCTGAACTCGCTTGGGGGACCGGAAAAGGTCGCGGAGATCTCGGGCCGGAAGCGGAGGCTCCTCTTGAAGACCGAGGGCGAAGCTTCCGGTGATAAATTCTCACGCTACGAAAGCGCCAGCCGGCCAGCGAATGCGAGTCTAAAGGAGATCGAAGCGTTTCAAGCGGGGCAAAAGCGGGTGGCCATTATTACCGCTGCTGGATCGACGGGCGTGTCGCTGCACGCCCACAAAGCTGACTCGCGGGCACGGCACATGATTATTCTGGAGCTTCCCTGGTCTTCCATGGAGTTCACGCAGCAAATCGGCCGAGTGCACAGGTCGGGCCAGGCGCACCTGCCTGCGTACACGCTGATCACGTCCAGTTTTTCTGCGGTGGAAGCTCGGTTTGTGTGCGCCCTGGCGCGGCGCATCAAACTGCTGGGCGCCTTCACTCGGGGGCGAGCTGAGCATGGAAATGCCGCCCTGGACGCGCTGCTCGACGGGAGCCACTTCTCGCATGGAAAAGCAGACGACGCGGTCAAGCAGCTTGTACTGGAATTCGGCGCTCGTCCTCAGTGGCGCGATCTAGCAGAACAGTGCGAGCCGAAGTACAATAGGAAGGCGCATGAGGCGTGCGGAACTAGGGTGACGCAGTTTTTGAACTGCTTGCCGCTGTACCCCAAAGAGGAACAAGAAAAGCTGTTCGACCGATTTCTGGAGGTGCTGGGACATCAGAAGGGCAACGACAATTTTGGAGGGCACAACAGCGAGCACAAGGGTGGTTCCGGTAGTCATGACATCAAAGACCTCAAATTGCCAGCGCTCGCGCAGACAAGTAGAGGCGAGCTTGTGGAGCGCTGTGACCGCCCCCAACCGCCGGTCGCTGGAAAGAGGCGAGTGGTCCGGTTCGAGCGTTTGCTTCGGGTGCCCCAGGTGGCGCCGCATAGCTACTTTGTCGCTGTTGATGTCGAGGAGGAGGAAATGACCTTGCCGCGGTCGTCTGCGTCGTCATCTTCCTCCAGCGCGCTCCTGCCGGTATGAATTGCAAAAGTTTCGCACTACAGGTACCAATTGCATTTGTAGAAACCTTCCCGAGAGGAAATCAAGCGCACTTTCTCATGCTGGATGAGGTATAGGGCTGGATTTGTGATGCATGACTGCAATTCGTGCGACTGCGAATGCGAGGCTTTTGCACAGGATATTAGCCGGCTTTGTTCGAGGACCGAAAATCTGACCTGAAGGAGTTGTCGGAGGCGGACCAGGAAGAATATGCATTGCAAAAGTACCGCACTGATAGTAAGTGATAATATAGATCTATTTCTCAGGAGCAAAATGTTGACGACTGGAATTTGTCATGATCAATAACGTAGGAAGGCACAGATTTCACAGGTTTCGCATGGAAAAATTGATCGCAGTTACTACGAGAGCGGTACTTTTTCATACAATAGAGAAAGGATCTATTGGTCATCTTCGAAAAATTTTAACAACACGATCGGAACCCGAAGGCAGCTGACCGCGACTTTGCTCTGTGGCTCGTTCCTGCCTTTCTTCGCGGACATCTACCAGAAAATCCTCGAGAAGCTGCCTCCGGGCAAATCAGTGCAGCTGCGACGGTTCCGCGAAGCGCCGAACAACAGCTGGCAGTACGGGATTCTCTTGCCGGCGTCTTTGGGCGCCGACAAGATCGAAAAAATCATGGCCGGCGCAGCGAAGCGCCCCCAAAAGATTTTGGAGGAGAAGGTCGAGGGTACTCGTATCAAATGCAAGTATGTCGAGGTCTGGAAGAGTGCAAATGTTTGCGATGCTGTTTTTACTTGACCCTTGAGGTCTGGCATGCAAGCGCTAGCATCACACACGTTTTCACAAGGCCTGCCAATGCCTAGTCCGTGGCACTAAATGTCCTCTTTCGGCAACAAGAAACGCAAGGCTCCTCCTGTTCAAGCATGCAAGCATGACAGATTTTCGTATGAACTCCAATGCGCATCACAAGTTTGCTTGTCTCCAGACCCAGACACATTTGCAATGCATAACCCGTGCAGCGAAGCGACTGCTGGAGTCCGGCGTTGTCGAGGCAATTCACGTATCCACTGCAAGTATGTCTGCGTCTGGTAAAGTTGAGCTTGTGTTGCGTCCCGCCAGTCTCCCAAAAATCTGTCTTGGATAAGTTGTTTTTTTCATGCTAAGTAGAGATTTCTCATTCTCATGAAGGAGAAGAATTCTAAAGGTTGTGCATAACCTGTGATGCCTACAGGCCCGTCATTCAAGACTTTGTGAGGCCTGGGCCTGCAAAAGCTGCATGACAAACTTCAGAATCTCTCCAGCTCCAGACATATTTACATCTCATATAACGCGGCGCTTGACCTGATTGGCGACAAGAAATGTGGAATTTTCTTCAAGGGAGACTCCGTGGTACTAGCGCGTGACGTATCAAATGCAAATAGCATGTCTGGCTCGGCAAGAAAACCGATATATTGTCTTGCTGTTGGTGCATCTCCAAAATGGTTTGGAATGTACACACAGCAGGACAAATTCTGCTGTGCATGAGAAATGCCCCCTCAACATAATCCGCGAGCACAACAGATCGCCTCACAAGTGGGCATGTTCTTTCCAGATCCAGACATTTTTGCATTCCATATGACGGCTCAAAGTGGACCATAGCGCGGGGGTCAGTGCCGGGTCGGTGGGAAGAAAAGGTGGAGATTGAAGAGCGCGGTAAATCCACGTCCCAACCCAAGAAGAGGTCATGCCCTCCCATGGATTTGAAGCTAGACGCTTCTAACCGCGACGAGGAGAACAAAGCAGCGGAAGAGGGTGGAGCGGGCGGCAAGCAGCCGAAGATGCGGGGACGCGGCGCCAGCGCCATCTGCAGCTCTCTCAACATGCGCTTGCTGCGGACCACGAAAGCGTTGTTCCACTTCCAAGAAGATCTCACGAGCAGTTATCTCAGCAAAATTGTATCATGCTGAGTCAGACCTAGCAGTAGAGCCGTCAGTTGCAGTGTCATGCTAAAACCTTGAGGCTTTCATGCTAGCCTACTAGTCGTACATGATAAGCTCGAGATGTAGAAACACGTGCAGCATTTCATTTGTGGCGCTCGCATGTCGTATTCGCATACACACGCCAATGTGTCATCTCTCGATCTAGCGTGCGGTCGCGAGGAGAAACTTGGCTTTACTCAAAATTTTGGATTTTGCTGGCATAATTGGGCACCATCGTGGAACATCAAGATCTGGCGAAGGATCGTCGACGTCGATCCATATTGGAAGCTATCGTCTTGCAAATGCCAACATCTACATACGACCAAAGTAGTTCTTGGTGCCTGTGATAGATTCTTGCCGGCTTCATAACTTGCATGACTCACCATTAGCGGAGGGCGAGTGGCGTTAGACCTGAAAGTGCTACTGCACAGTAGCGCTCGTGTCGGTTTTTTGCAACCCTTCATACAAAAGGAAAGATGCTAGAAATGTTGTTGAGCGCCACCCGTTCATGCAACTGAAGGCAGCAGGAGGAGGAGTACTACATACCTAACAAGTGAATTTAGTAGGTACTATCGCGATCCCGCTGTTGTAGGTAAGTATGGGTTACAGCATAATCAAAGTCGTGGTTTTGGGAAGATGTAAAGTACCCAAATGGAAATAAACTTCCTAGATAATCTATTCAGATCATACTCATTCTGATGCAGAACTACAGCGGTGTCTGATTGTCGAAAAAAGTGTTTGCAAGAGGATGCTGTTCGGAATTACGGGGCAGCAGCGAGGTCGTGGTTCAAAATATCAGAGCGGCATACAAAATATGCACTGCAAATAGGGGCCTGGAAAAGTGGAACCTGTATTGCTTGCGCTGCATGCGGTTGCGGTCTGTCAAAACTGTAACGCACGACTTCTTTCTACTTCATGCAAAAAAGGCAGGCTCTCATGTCGCTGCGAATGACAAGGCGTGTCAAAAATTTATCATGCTTGGCTGCACTTGAACGCACGCTCAATCATTGCGATCCAGCTCCACAAGTTCCCAGACCCAGACATATTTGTACTGAATACAAAACCGTCGTGAAAAATTGGGACGCTTTGTGGGCCAAAGACGCGGGAGAGGAAGCGACCTGAAAAGAGTGGATGATGCTTGGTGGTGATTTGTTCAATGCTGATTCAGATTTTCCATTTCCTTGGAAACATTTTTTCTTCACCTTTTTACAGTTGCACTTTCCTCCTTCCAGCTTTTGTTTTCTAAAAAGTACAAGAGAAAGAGGGTTGTTGGGTTTTTCATACCGATCTGACACTGAACTGATCTTCATGTCCTATATTTTTCCGGTATAATTGTTTTTTGAGCTTTTATGTATCTGTTCCAAAGTGAAAATGTACTTTACATTTACAAAGTGACAGTACCCGAACCAATTAGTCGGAGCACGCAATTGGGTTTCTCGCCCGATGTCCGACGTATGGTACCACTGAAGTGTGATCCGGACGCAGGGACCTGCACCGGTATCCTTCCAGTATCTGCGTCAGGCTGCTTCGTCGCGATGAGTGACATAAAGCGCATCCACGGATAGCAGGATCATGACTCTTGTCGTGCTTGTACGGGTCTATATTTGCTTGGGCAGTACAAAACGAGACATGCTCTTTTCTATGTGTTGTCTTTGGCTAAAGACGACCTTTCTCTCTGTTGTCTTTGGGTAAAGACGTCTTTTTATTTCGTCTTATCGCGATGGGTTCTTCGACGTTTCAGAAGACAGATTTAACCCGTTGAAAGCTAGTGTAGAACCCAAAGCTAGCGTAGACACATTTGGCTCGTTGAAAATAGATCCAACAGCCGCAGTATTGAATTGCTCTTGTTTTTTCCTATTTCGGTCTCGAACTCACTCGATTTCTGACCTCGAGAAGGACACGGTGCAGGACTGCGACATTCGCATGTCGCAAGTCGTCATGCGCAAATTCCGCATGTTTATTTTGTGCTTTTTCCTTGCCGCTCTTCTTCAGACTCTCAGTCAGAAATAATGATTCCCACGAGCCTTGAGTACCGGCCTGAACCAGAGACCCGAAGGCCTCCAGCCTGTAATACATGCGACTCGATTACTATAATGGATTGAGTTTTTTCTCGTACTGAGAATTTTAGAAGTACACTCACGGCTTCCGCGTGCTGCAATGGTGATGAAGATATTGATCTTCTGTTGTTTCCATCGCTGCAAGAACGGACCAAATGTCGATGCATTTCTATGCCATTTTTTACACTATACCCGCAGGTGTTGACAGCCATCAGTAGGGCGTTGGTGTTAATGATAATTCCATGGATCTAGTTGTAGCATCTGAGATACCTCCGAAGTAAACTTTCATTTGTCTACAAAGAAAAAAAGCGAAACTTTGCAAACTTTCCTCGCGAACTTTTTTTGCTTGAATTGCCACAAGTACGAGAAATCCCAATGAAGATACTATAGTGCTCACGGCTGTCATCTCGACATCGCGGACCGT